CCTTGTACCTCCGGTTTAAGGCTTGGTCCTCCAAGACCTGCAGTGTGCGGATGTATTCGGGGGGCAGCAGGTGGTTGAAGGCACAAAGTCCTTGACCCAGCTTGATGTATAGCCCTCCGTTCCTTACGGCTCCTTCCACCATGTAGTCTGCTGCCCTCTGGTGGCAGGCTGACATCTCAGACAAGTAGGATGGGCTGCTCTGGCAGGGGGGCAGGACGGAAGTTGTACATGATTGTTTGTGCCTCTTGAACCTTTTCACATTATCATATCACAACGCAAGGATCTTTAGGATCTGCGACACACCAAACCAACTCCAACGTTTCTCAGCCTGGCTTTCTAACAATACGGACAGAGAGATCGGTGGCAGAAGTAAATGAGATGAATTAGCCCTACTTGCCAATGATGTCAACCTATACATGTGACTGTGGAATATTGTCTCTACTGCCAAGATGTTAAACTGAGACCTCTTCAGATTCATTGCTTCCACCCCACATCATTGCCATCAACATCCACAATAAAAATCAAAAATTAAATTAAATACAACCAGTTGTCTTTAGGAGTCAGTGAGAAAATAGAGTTCTCCTGTGTTGATGGAAAACTAACACATCATCCTGATGGTGAAACATGGCGGTGGTGGATCGTGCTGTGGGTACGGCCCTTTCTATCAAACTTTATGTGAAATTGATGGAGCTAAATACATGGTAGCACGAAGCCTGATAAAAACCAGCCCCTTGTTTTACCTTCGTACAGAGGGTCTGGACCCTTGGCCATTGGGAACAGACTGCTTGCTGGAGGTATGGACTCTGTTGAAGTTTTAAACTTTACTCAATAGCTAACATTTGTCTGTGACTTATGCAATCCACCAGTTTGACGCTATGAAGTTTACTGGACATTTCCTGTAAACAACCATCCTCCACTGCGAAGAGAGAAGTGTCGAGCCGAACAAGATGACTAATATAAATACAGTACTTGGAAGAGTTGCCAACACGAACTGAACGGCTTCGTTCACTTCCTCCGCTGCCATTGCTAAAACTACAGGCAGACTATAACTCTAAAACAATGCAGAAAATAAATGCCATAGTTCACAACTTCTCCTGCCATTTGCTGATTGGCCCGGTTGGAATTCTACTGGAGAAATCTCCCTCAAAGGGAGAAAGCCCAGACTGAGTTTGAGAGGGAAGAGAATCGAATGGAATTGCTTAGGAAAGCTATGGCCAAGCTAGCTAGCACTGGAGTCATAACTGAAATTAGTGCTGTTCAGGAGCAGGATTGCTGTGTCAAGGTTTGATACAATGAAACCTCTGTCAAACAGGCAGCTTTGTTATATTCCAATAGTTCAGTACCTGATTCAATGGCTTATGTAGAAGTGAATCACTGGTTAGACTTGCGGAGAGGAAACTTGTTTAAGGTATTCCCCTAATATATTATGCCTTATTTTTCTATCCTTCTAAAATTATAGGAAATATCAGACAGAACTATCACATGGTAGTGAAGCCGAAGCTGAACCTGCCTGCCTTCACATTTTTGGCCACTAGATGTCACCAAATACAAACACTTGAGCACGTTTGAAAAGCCTTATCTGGCCATCACTACCACAAAGTAACGGTGTGAAAGCCTCAAGTTACTAACTGTTGCTAATGCTGTCGTTTCAATTAAACTGTTATACTGATAGTAAAAATAACATCAATAGCTGATACAGTATATCTGAAAACAGATTGTATTTATTAATTTTTTTTAGTTTTCAAATGCTTGTAGCATAATTTGCAGGGATGATGGTGTTGGTCGTAGGAGTTTGCGTGCATGACTGAATGTAGTGAGAATCTCTTAAGGGTTCTATGGGCTTGATAAAATAAATATAGGCTTTACTATCATCAGTTATTATATTGCATGATTTCGAATGAGGATCTCAAGATCCCACAGTTCAAAGATTTGAATAGCAATAGTCTCCACATGGATCTTACCTCATCCATCCCTCGCAGAGCCACATTGGTGGTCCACCAGTAATCCACAGAGATGAAGATCCCTACAGAGAGAGACCTGGAGGCACACACATCAGATGTTGCTTGTAATTTGGACGTGGAAATATTAAAACAAAACAAAACAAAAAAGAGATAGATAACTCCTTCTGGATTGACTCACTGTGTCACAAATATAATTTTATTTTCCTAAAAATCTACTATCACACTCTAATTCTGCTGCTGGTTCTAATACCTGTTTGAATATTATGTTAAGCAGAAGAATATGATCCAGTCAAAGATGCTTTTTTCCTTTAAATCAAAGCTAAAATCCACCTGGCCTTTTATTAATAGATTATCATACTCAATGTATATTTACTTGATGACTTTGATTATGCCATTTTACAAAATGTAATGTTTATTGCTTGTTTCATAATTATGTTTTTGTGTTGTAAAGCACTTTGAACTGCCTTGTTGCTGAAACATGATACACAATTAAACTAAAGTTCAGAAAGGTGGAGATTTTTCTGTACTGATTCAGACCTGGAAAATAACAAAGCGTATTTCATACTTTTTAAGACTGAGTAGGAACCCTGCATGCATGCAAGTACGCAACAAACCTGCAGAAACGACCAAATCCCTCGACCACAATCCTCATCCTCCTCCTCTGCCTCGGTTCTGCAGTGGCGTACTTCACACCTACTGCCAGGGGAAACCCCACAGAGAGACCGAGAAGGGTCTTCCAAAACAGCCCCCTTCGCTTCCCCGGCCTGGAAACAGAACATACTTCATCAAGGAGAAGGACATCCATCATGGACGGCCGTCCAGATTGCATAAGTAGAACTTGAAGCAGTACCTGACGACGCTGAGGGATCTGGATGTTCGGGCATTATGTGGATGTCTTCGCAAGAGAGCTAGATGATGATTGCATAATCTAAGCTACAGTAAAAACAAAGAATTTTCAACTAGGGTTGATAAATCGTCATGATCAATTGACTGAATTTTTGGTTTTGAAGATTTAATTAAAATATGGATTCCCCTCCCCCCAACCACCACCACCACCACACACACATTTGGACACATCTGGTCTTTATTCTGCTAATATTGTAGCCACGTTCTCGGAATTAAAGAATACTCTCTACCCTGTCTGTTGTACAACTCACAGAAGAGATGACTGAAATAAAAGGCACTTTCAGAAAAAAAACATTGCTGTCATTTGTAATTTCTTTCTTTTTTTTTTAGAAAAGAGGAAAAAAATGGATGTCGGGTGGTTCTGTCGGAGATTTTATTTTTAAGTCATATTACCTACCCTACTTACTATTAAAAGAAAAAAAGGTCTGTATAACATGCATATTATCTGGTTATTAACCGTGTGTGTGTGATTGTTGGCTGGGAACTGAAAGTGAACTGTGGACCCTGCGAAGGATCTATCTGAGCAGACCCAGCCTCCTACACCGGCCGTGTGTGTTTGCATGGATGCAAGGGGGGAGACTCCTACCAAGGCCAGAACTGTTGTTTTTGTTCGCTGTCTGCAATGTGAGGGACAAAATGTCTCTACCGCTGACAAATTGATACCCAGATAACGGGGATGTCAATGACCTGAGCACGGACATTAATGCAATAGGATTCCTTCTCCAACTTTAGACAGCAAGGAGAGAGATTCTGGAGGAGGATCGCGACCAACACGAGAAGGACAAGTCAGGAGTCAACTATTAAACCCTTCTGCTGCTTCAGCCATCTGCCAAACTGACGGAAAAACTAGAAAAACACTCGAATTTTTGCATATGAAAAGCTTTGCCGTATTAATATTCTCCAGTGATTTGAATGAAAAAGCTGTCATAAGAGAAAAACATGACAGTGAGTAATGATTAGCTATTAGTTAACTAGCTGATCTTAAGAAATAACCCTATCGGACTGTACGAATGTACTAAAAATATGCTTTATTTACCACTCGCGATGTTTCCCCTGTCATGGTTCGCCACAGTGATTACAGCATAGACGAGTAAGCAGCCACAGGTTTGCCCTCCAGCCAGCCACAGCACCTCATTTGGCTACTAGCATACTGGTCACTCAAAGAGTAGCCTCTGCGTGAGTCCAAGATGAAGTTCGCCTGCCCACTTCCGTCTCCGTTTACTCCAGAGAACTGCTCGAGAGAGGTCAAGCAGCGTCAAGCTTCTCTCCTGTGAGACTCACGCAATTCTAGGTGTTGCTGACGTATTTCCGCTCTCCGAAGAAGCTCGCGCTAGATTATCCCGTCCAAGCGCTCCTGGATTCCAAGTAGGTAGTTCCGTTAACTCACGTAACAACTATGAAGAAACCGACTTAAAGACAAGTTGCCTTTGTTGGAAAAACGTAATTGAAATAATCAGAAACTTGTAAAAACAGTAGCTCTTATTAAGAAACTTAGCTTTATCTCATGAGCGGATTTCTTTGCTATATTGTTTACTTTTATTTTTCCTTTTTTGTTGTTGTAACAGATCCTTTATTATATTTTTTTGAATGTTCTTTTGCACATTTGAAAATAAAATCGAAATAAAGAACGTTTTTATAAGGACAAAAGGTAATTCCGTCAAACTTGAAAGTCAAGCAGTTAAATCAAACAGTATGGATTAAATTCACTAATATCTAATATTTAATATGATATTATCTTTTTCTGCTCTTACATCCGAATTTCCCTTTTGCGAGAGAATAAAGGCTCTTTCTATTTCTCATCCATTCTATTCTATTTCTGTACACCTGGAAACAAATTGTAAGTTTTCCTCCTAAAGTACCTTCAAGTAATATTTGTTTTCACAAATAATAAACTAATTTCCATTGTGTTTTTAGTAATGAGCGCCACAGTAATTGAGAAACCCCAAAGTTTGTTGTCTTGAAACCAGAACGTGCACAGCTAGGATGTGACGCGATTCCCAGATACAGCCATTCAGACGGGGAACTATCTTGAAAGCTTACTCTTTGTTTGAAGATTTCACAATAAAACGTCATTAAACGGAGGTGTGTGAGAGCATGTGCCGTTGTGCCGACACTGCCATTACTTAAGGCAGTGTCGGGACAAGGGCCTCTGTCTTCTTTTCTTCGCGTCCCACCACTTCTTCGCATAAATCAGATTTACTTAAGGTTATCATTACCTTCAATAATAATAACTGCAGTATATCAGTATTCCACTCCAACCTCATCATGACAGGTAATTTGCACATTATTTGTTTTGAACTAAGCCTATGACAGCAATTTTGACTCAAAACGTTTGAGCAACAGACTCCATGGTGGTGGAAATTAGAGAATTAAAAAAATCGCAAATATGTGTAGCTTCCAAAGTTAAAGAAAAAAAACTGTAAAACTGTATACATTTATTAATTTATGATTTCTTTGTCAATAAAAGTATTTAGAGTTACATACTGATCAGAGGAGTGGTTTATGAAAAATAGTTTAAACGAAACCATTACATGCATTCATATGTGCTTTTATTTTGAAGAGTAGTGTCTCGTTTATGCCGCCTGTCCACCGGAAGCTCTGCGACCCGTGTCGCTGCAGCGTTGCGCTTTCCTGTTTACGAGCGGGAAGAGCGAACGGAGCTTCACCGTGTACACTTTTAGGGGTTTATAACCGCCTGCACATTTGTTTTTAGTTGTCTTCCAGAGCGGCAGTCTGCATGTTTTAATGAACCACTTGGCACTGTGGGGAGTTTAGATACGTTGTCGGCGGAGCGCTGGTGAAAACAAGAGGTGTTTTTGGAGCAGAGTGGGACAGATGGAGGATCCTCCAGCAGATCCTATCGGCGGCGGCGGCGGTGGTGCAGCAGCCGCCGCAGCGGAGGGCCCCACGATGCAGGTGGCTGACATGCGCTGGCCAAGCGGAGCTCTTCCGCTCCGGCTCCTGGAGTGGAAGGTCAAACCAGGGTCTCTCGTGAACGTGGACTCGGTTCTTGCCTTATGTGCTCTCATAGCCCAGGATAAGGAGACGGAGGCTGCTGCTAGGCTGCCAGAGAAGAAGGTGAAATCGGACCGTGCTGGAGTGGTGAAGGAGCTCTGCTGTCAGCCAGGACAAATAATTCCTCCCGGGTGAGTTACTGACTCTACCTGCTAATTTTAGCTCATGTTAGTTGACCTGCACGGAAAGGCTACAGGCAGTATGTCAGCTGCATCTCCCGACAACACCCTGTTTAACACGGCTGTTAGCTTACAAGCTAACAATGCTAACGTGATTTTAGCCCATCTTCCACTGTCAAGGTGGCACAAATGAAGAGCCTTTTAACTAGAACTTTCAAAGTAAAAGCAGTGTATTTGAGTAAAATGTCTCACAGCCTTAGTATACCTTTTGATTATTATATTAGAGATGATACAGTTTAAATAGAGTGTACACAAGTAAGCAAACGACAGCTTTGACACTTGTTGATATAGATTAATTCTACAAGAATATAAGTGTTCGCTTTTATTTTGAAAAGTAAACCAGATGTAGCGCTGTCTCGCGTTGTTATGGCTTGACCTGACAACCAGGGAGCGTGTAGGAGCTGATGAGGTTGACAGGTGGAAGGCAAGCTTAAGTCTAACCGACTGGGCTCAGACCGGACGTTTCCCGCCGTTTTTTATGTTACAAAATTATCCAGAATTTAACACCGTCTGCCTAAAATACCTCTGGAAAATTATTACGGGATGAGGTTCCAGTATTGAGGTTTGGAAAAAAAAATAGTTTGGAAATAAATAGGAGTAGTAATGCTTTTCACTCCTTTACATGAGGAGGACCAAGAAGTACACCCCCTCAGTTTTACTTTATTGAAAGTATACACACCCATGTTAAAATTTAAGGTTGTGTAAAGTAAATAAGGTCAATCATAATAAATAATTTACAAACTGCTTACTACACATGTCAGTACCTCACATTTTAATTTGCTTCCTCCACTTTACCTTGCGAAATTTATTCAATTCTCCAAGCCATTTGAAAACTTTAATGATACTTTAATGATATTACTCAATTAAATAAAAAAATACTTTTAAGTATTCCAATTGTAAATTACATGGTGTTTTAACTCATACCATTTATCATCAAAGAGTCGCTGAGGACAATGATTATCTGGGCAGGAAGGATGCGCAGTAGCAGTCAGTCTTCCAACTAATCTGAGGAAGCCTCTGACTGAAGACTGTTGCTGTATGATAGTCTCATGAATCAACTTATCTGTTATAAGTGAAGTTGGAGCAGTGAAATACCTCTTCATTTTCAGATTTCTTTAACACTTTTGAATATTTTGGACCAAAAGTTTATAGTATTTGGAGCGTCTGATAGCTCAGTTTGAGCTGAAGGACAGTAACTCCATTGTATAGTACTTCATAAAATTGCAATGGAAACACTTCACACAAGTGATAAACAACCAGATTTTACTACTGGTGGAAAAGACAAAGTCGACGACAGGAAGTGGTAGGAGGATGATGGTGCGGCATGTCTTTTAATGACTTACCAGGCGAACAGACTTATTCACCTGTGATTTTAATTGCATTTCCTATTTAATGGAAACAGATATTGCAAAACTGCATTTTGTTGGGACGTTAGAGGAATATTGACAACGTCTTATGCACATTTGTAATAGAAACAAAGCTTATAAGGCCTTATGTAACATTCAAACCTTCTGAGAAGCTAAACTGTAATAAAATTTAGCAATGTATTTAATTAAAATATGTGAGATCTAAGTTTTTTGCATCAAAAAACTGAAATAAATACACTTTTTGAAGATATTGTAACTTAATAATCTGTATTTTAGAAATCCACATTATGTAAAAATAGCCTATTGCTTAAAAACTAAAATGATTTATTAATATAATGCATTCTGAAAATTAATTGTACTTTGTGTACATAATATTATAGAATTCACATTTCTTTAAAACAAATGGGAACCATACGAAGGCACAGAGCAAATTTGACATGGTTATTAAAGATGAAGTGAAAACATAAAATCCGGTGTGGATAAAGAAGTTCACCCACGGTGGAGGGCCACCTTCAGCAGCAGGGTTCCTCTTTATCAGTCTCTTCCATTGTTGTGGAGGAATTTGGCCTCATTCATCTTTATGAGATCGTTTGGGTTCATCGAGGTTCGCAGACCTTTGCTAATGCAAAGCTCTGTTGAACCCCCCGGCACAGTTTGAGTTAGATTGAGGTCTGGACTTTGCACCTTTTCCATTATTTTGTGTTGCAGTCAGTTTGTTGTGGATGATGAGATTATTCTTTCTTTATTTTACACTTTGCAGCAAAGCTCACTTTGGGGCTCCTATTAGTCTGTTTTTCACACACAAACTCAAGTGAAACACAAAGACTTCCATTTTTGAAACAAAGATGATAAACTCAAATTGCAAAAAAAAAAAAGAAAAGAAAAAAAAAGGTGTATTTGGAAAGTACACCCTTTCCAAATATTTTGAGCAATCTGTGTCGTAACAGTTAAGGATTGGTTTGATCAAATAAGTATTCAAATGTTTAATTGGCAAATAAAGCCGGTGATCATCAACATACAGACGAAAGGAAATACAGAGCTTTCCAGTGTTTATGCAACAAAAAATGTTACTGTTTTAATCTAGATTTAACAAATTTCACACATTTGTTTTTTCCTGTGTCTAGGGGCGTCATCGTCAGAATCGAAGAATGCAGCCATCCAATAGTGATGAAGGGTCTGTGCGCCGAATGCGGCCAGGATCTGACTCAGTAAGGTTCTTTTCTTCATTTAAGGAGAAACTGGTTGCTGATTCTACACCAGGGTAGCATTTCAGATGTCACTCAGCTAGCTGCCTAGGCTGCAGAGTGGATTGTGTCACATAATTCCATGAAGTGACATCAGACATCACAGTAGAGTTAGTTATCCTGAAATAACCTATACTGCAGGATATTACTGTAAAATTTAAAAACTATGTGCTTAGTGGTTTAGCATTAGCTTCCACTGATTATTAAATGTGTACCAGTTCAGCATTAGCTTCTGCTATTTTTTTTTTTTGTGGTTTAACACTAGCTTTCAATAATTTGTTTTTATGTGTAGCTTAAAAAATCTGCTAATTTCTTTGTGTGTCACGGTTTAGTGTTAGCAGAGCTAAGACTCTTCTTTAGCAAATTAGTAGTTAGTGGAACTAACCTTTTGGTTAGCTGTGTCCACCGCTGGCAATAACTACTGGCTATGTTGGTGTGAGCAGATGTTCTTCATTATAGCTGTGGTGGCCATTTTGAAAAATGTCCGTCAGAAAAGGGAAACGCAAGATCAAGAAAATATGTGTGGGTTTTATGGCTCAAAAATATGTAGGCCTTGATTTGACACCAAACACATTCACAGTTGGCGATTTTAGCGCAAAACCATGACAACCGTGGTGGCCATCTTGAAAAATCAATAACTTGTCAGTAAATATGATTTCTGTGATATTTATTAATTTGACACTTAAAGTATTCATCTGTGAAAAATATTTGCAGTAATAGTGCAAAAATAGTTTTTCCTTGGCGACCAAGTTGAATTTTTTTAGTGGCTCACGTTCATGAGTCATCCACTCTGCTGCATGACTATCAGCTTTGAGGTTTTAGATGTTTTGTGTTCTTGTTGGACAAAATAATAAAGTAACAAGAAGCTACAAACAGTCCTAAGTGAACCGCTGCAGCAGACGAGTTCTTGGAGTAGCAACTGTTGATGATGTATCCATCCAGTCACGGTATGTTCAAGGACATTAGAAATGCACAAACGCAGAACTCCTTCTCCTTTTATTTCCCTTTCAGGCTGCAGGGGACTAATGGGAACCAGCAAAGTCCCATCTCCACAGCAACAGTCTCCATGGTGCACAGTGTCCCTGAACTGATGGTCAGCTCGGAGGTGAGTCATATGACGGCGATACCTTCATTGAACAACCGCTCTACTGTAAAGTTTCATTGTGTTTCTGTGCGCTCTCTGCCACAAGCGGATTGTTTGAGAAACTCCAAGGTTCTAGTTGCATCGGATGAAGTTCTCTGAATAAACCAGATGAAAAACGTGACGGAAACTGCTGTGAGAGTTTGTTGTTTCTCTCCCCACAACAGCAAGCCAAACAGCTGGCCCGAGAAGACCAGCAGAGACTGCACCGGAACAAAAAGCTGGTCCTCATGGTGGACCTGGACCAGACGCTGATCCACACCACTGAGCAGCACTGCCAGCGCATGTCCAACAAGGTACCGCTCCCACCTACTGCCCCACTGTTTCACTGCTAAATCTACTGGCAACCATTTTTTAAAAAAAAAGTGTTTCCTTCAGGGGATCTTCCACTTCCAGCTGGGTCGGGGGGAGCCCATGCTCCACACGCGGTTACGGCCGCACTGCAAGGAATTCCTGGAGAAAATCGCCAAACTCTACGAGCTGCACGTCTTCACATTCGGGAGCCGTTTATATGCACACACCATCGCTGGTAATGGGCTCATGACCGTTTCCTCACAACTAACACTGGAGAATCTGCTGTACCCTGCAATAGTTTCCACGCTCCGGGAACTCTTCCATGTTTTATCACGTTGCAGAATTCAGTGTACAGGATTTCTCCTAGTGTATCATAAACCTGGCGGGCTGCCAGGCTTAACTTGCCCCTCTGCCAAACTCAACATCGTTTATTTACTTTAAATATTTTTTTTATACACCAGTAACAGTGATAGTAAAGACGGTTTAAGCTCTGTCTTTAATCGATGCAATGAACTGAAAATGGTTTATTACTACAGTGATCTTGCAGAGGAGGTTCACCTCTACTGGCATTTGTTTTATAAGTCTAAGAAGACTGTCTTTATTTGGATAATGTACACGTCAAGTTTAAAAGCCTTACCGCTTTTTCGGCTCATGCACACTTAACACCAACACATAAAAGCGCAACGATAAAGTCTGAGTCACAGTCACACTTTTAGAGGTTTGTGTTCAATGCGCATATGATGTGAGCGCATATGTCTGTGTGGACAAAGAACGAGTTGAGTGAGTTTCCATCTCGCCCACACTCGCTCAATACACGTACTGGCATGCGTTTTGATCTGTGTCTGCACTTACAACTTTATAAACTCCACCAGGCACTCACAGACTGGTATTTTTCATCCAGAGTATTTCTTGCAAATTCTCCTTTGCTTGGATAAATAACAACGAATCACAAGAAAGGCAGAAAAATTGCAAAACAAACTATACAGTATGGACGAATAGAGTCACTGCATTTTTGAGGTGACTTGCACTGGATTTTATTTAGGGGTGTCAGAATAAAGGTGGTTTAATACAAATGCGAACTACATATTTTTTTAGATGTTCTTGTAAAAAAAAAAAAACATTTGAAGGGGAAAAAAATCCCGTATAATTTTCAAGATTTGACAGTTGTCAGCTTGCACTTCCTGCTACCGTCCAACAGGGGGCAGTGTCTGCTAACGCTCTGGAGACCTGCTCAGCTTTGGTTTTTTCTGGGGAGGACAAAGTTTCTACAACTGATTTCCAGCAGATTTTTTTTTTTTTTTTTTTTTTTTTGGATGCTTTCTTCTTAGTATAAACAATTCGCTGCTGTATATCAGGTTTTAGACGGAGCTTTTATGCAGCATCCTTTTGGCATTCATGCTGCTGTCTTTCGTAGTGGTATAAATAATAAGAGCAGCCCCGGCCCAGTGCTTGTTTCTGCCTCCACAATGAATGTTTAATGCAGGTTGAATTGGATTCTGCTGCTGACCTCATTGCAGAGAGTTCAGCTTGTTTCAGAACAGTTATTATCAGCAGCAGTTGTGGAGTTTTTATTTTATTTTTCATAACGCGCAGCATATTTCGTTTCAGAAACCCAGCAAACATTAGATTGCATTCAAAATGAAGTTTCTGTTGAAATCAATCTACTCTGCGAGAACCTACAGATAGATGATATAATTCAGACGGAACAGAAATCAAACATCTCTTCTTCCTCCTCTCTAGGCTTCTTGGATCCTGAAAAGAAACTTTTCTCCCACAGAATCCTTTCTAGAGACGAATGCATAGATCCGTTCTCCAAGACGGGGAATCTTAGGTGAGAAATGTGCTCTGTCTGTTTGCGCATTAGCACACATGATGATGTTTCTGAGTTGTTGCTTAAAAAACAGATGCAGTTTAAATGATATAATTACATCCACTGTATAGAAATGAATTTCCCTTGTTTCTTCCTCTGTCTGGCATGAAATCAGACTAAATGTTCTTGTTTTAGGAGGATTACCAACATTAGGTTTGATTGCTAAATGCTTTTCTTTAAGTTTAGACCCCTACTTCTCTTTCCTGTTTGGTAGAACTGTCTTAAAATGTATGACATGGGCCAAAGTCTTCAGTTATCCATCATCACCGTAGTTTGCTGGAATTGTGATCGTTCCTCCTGACAGAACTGAGTCAGGTTTGTTTTCCTCTAACTCCACCCACAGGTTTCCCGTCTGACTGCGATCAGGCCTCTGTGTTGGCTGCTGTGAAACATTGACGTTATTGTCCTTAATCCACTTTATCGCTAATTTGACGCTACAAACAGTCATTGTCCGTTTGGAAGACTTCCTGGCTGACAACTTGACATGTCGCTTTAGTATCTACACATCATTTTCTGTCCTCAAGATGTGTGAAGTGCACCAGTCTCTCCTGCCGTAAAAATCACCTTGGAATAGTGTTCTCAGGCTAGTGAGCTTTCCTCTTCTGTTGGTTGTTGTGGCCAAATGCTTCAATTTAGGTATCATCAGACTGCACTCAGAGTGCACCTATAAATCCACCCTGATTTCCTTAATTTTGGGGCAATCGGCCAGTACTTTCATATGAAACCAACCTGATCTACTTCCACGTAGACCTGAAAATCAACTACTGTGTTCATCTGCGTGGTTAACTACGGTTAAGCTTGACAGCTTAAAGACTTTGTCAACATATTTAGCAACTTCTCAGACAAGAACAAATCATTATTGGCCAAAAGTGGAGTCGGCAGGTCAGACTTTGTAAAGATTGGTGATCGGACCAAGAAAAACCTTGAAATCGGTGCACACCTTTGTTTCCTGAGTGAGGTCTTAAAATACATCCACAGGTGTGTTGTTTATTAATTTCTAAGAAATATTTAATGTAGGTTGAATGGAGTAAAAGTTATTTAAAAGAATCTCATTAATCTGTCGCTTAGCAAACGGAAATAATAGTAAAAATTCAAACTGAGCTGAAACAGGAACGCTTCAGTCCGATTTAATGTCAGACATGACAAGTGTATATAAATATCTGGTTTTAACAGCAGCAGATGTTTACTTTGCATTTCATAAAGCAAAGTTTTATTATTTTTTTTCCCTTTTACAGAAACCTGTTCCCCTGCGGCGACTCCATGGTCTGCATCATCGACGACCGGGAAGACGTCTGGAAGTTTGCACCGAACCTCATCACTGTGAAGAAGTACATCTACTTCCAGGGCATCGGAGACATCAACGCTCCACCGGGATCACGGGAAGCTCAGATGGCCAAGAAAGGTACAAGAACGTTTTTTTTTTTTCTTTTCTTTTCTGAAACACTTTAAATCTACACCTTGAAATGATGTTGTTAGACCATACCTGGTTAGATTTGGTGGATTTATTGTGTTTCTCAAGCTGACTATAAAAAGTAATTGCAGAGATTTTATTGGACAGAAACTCTGTCCCCCGTTCATGCAAGCAGTTGGCCATGGTTTAATTTACTGCTTTCGTGTTCGTAGAGCCGGTACAAACCCCAAACTGCAGTAGCGTGGCCTGTCTCCTCCGATTATTACGCCTCCATATCTTGTCCATTCAGCCCAGTGGTTTCAAAAGATACAGTATACTTACTTTGAACAAGGCAACTTTTATTTATGTATTCTTTTTTTTTTTTTTGCCCCTAGTCTGCCTTGTTGACAGGTTATCTCCTCACATATTTCACGCTCAAACAGAGTCGCTGGCTGCCGAGTGACTCAGCGTTCCCAGAGGAATCGGATTTGCCTTGCAGGAGTGTTCTCCTCCAAGAAGTGTTTGCCAACACGGGGCGAAGGCAGAGCTGCACTCGCTGTGTTGAAATCTAAGCAATTCTCTTTGCGGAGCGTATTAGAGGGGAATTTCAGGCAACTTTGGACAACTAGAAAGAGGAAAGTTGTTGATTTATCTACATGGAGACAAGTTTCCTAATAGGTCTGCAGTCAGAGAGTTGGGTTCCGTTATCGCAAGACATTCAGTTGCCAATGAATTTACTCCTGTACCTTCATGTTTTGTCTTGTAATCATAGTTTAGTAGGATTTTTATGATGGATGTACACAAAGCGGTGCATTCTTGTATAGTGGGATGAAAATGATAAACGGTTTTTCCAAATCAAAATCAGAAAAATTTATTTGCTCTTCCCTTAGACGACACGTTGCTGAACCGCCTTTAGCTACAGGTAAAGCTGCAAGTCCTTCTGGGTATTTTTCTACCAGCTCTCCACATCTAGAGACTGAATGCCTTTCCTGATTTCTTTTCTCAGGTTGGATTGAGAACATCTGCAGGTCTCTGCAGCGTAACATAAGCTTGATGCCCCACCAGGCTTTACTTGCAACCCCTGCCAAGCTAAACTTTGTTTTTTAATATGGTATTAATATGTTTTTTTTACGCACCATTAACAGTGATGGCAAACACAGGATCGTGTGTGCTATCTCTTATTAAAAATCGTCTAATTAGAAGGTGATCTTGCAGAACAGGTTCACCTGTACCAGCGTTTACATCGTCCCTCCAAAGAACTAATGCATACTTCACGTCGGTGGTGGACTGCCTCAGCAACCCTACCACTGCGCTTCGCAAGCTTTCTGGGGGAAACACTGCACCTGAGAACAGCAATTTTAATATTTTGGAAGCCTGATTTATGTGTTGAGTTTGATTGGACCATTCAAACACGGAACATGCTTTGATTAAAAATTTATTGCAGCTCTGGATGTGTGTTTAGGGTGGTTATCCTGCTGAGAGGAGAACCGCCTCAAGTCTTTTACAGCCTTTAACAGATTTTTTTTTTCCAGGTTTTAGCTTCACATATCTTCCTATCAGCTGGGGCCAGCTCTGCTTTATGTGGCGATGTACCTCACAGCATTCCTCAAACTATAACAATTGTTACTTTCAACAATGATTTTCTATTGAGTTTCCTCTATAAAGGCCACATTTGAGCATTTTCTAAAAAATGTCAAAAACCGTGTTTGATTTTCTTTCCGTCAGACAGTGAGGTACTTCCAAGTTCATCAGCAGATCTTACTTCACCCTCACATCTTGTTTGTTTGTTTATGTGATCGGATTTTCATGTCTTCCAGCTGGAGGCCCTTCGAGTCGACCGACAGAGAGCACAGAACAAGCGGAGGCGATTGGTGCTGATGAGCAAAATAATGGCCTCAGGAAACGGTCAAAGGAGCCAGGCATTTCAACAAAGGAAGAGCTTTCATTACCTCAGTCTTCTCAGGAAGGAGCTACCGGCGAAAGGACACAGGGGGGTGTGGAGGAGAATCAGGAGGAGGCAGGACGAAGTCGAGGGTCAGACGCTGGTCAAAAGGTTTCAGAGTCTGGGCAGAAACCAAAGGACACTCAGGTGGAGGATAAAAAAGATGTTAAAGAGGATGGTGGTAACGGGACAGAAGAGGCTCAGGGAGGTGCCAACTCCTCAGCACCGAGCCACGACTCCAATAACTTGGATTTTGACCTTTCTAGTGACAGCGACAGTGAATCGGGTACAGGAAAGCCCGCCTCGCCAGACGGCGGGAGTCAAAGCAGGACTCACTTGACAAAGGAGTCTGAACAGGAAGGAGATGGACACGAGCCCTCTGATGAGGATATGACGAAGGACGGGGACAGCAAAGGTTCTTGCGAAGTCGAGAACAGCTCGGACTCTGCAGAACACCCAGGCGTCGTCTTGCCCGACCCCGAGCTGGGGAACGGCTGCTTGGAGAGGAGAGAGCCGGAAACCGAGTCCCAGAACAGCGAACAGTCCGGAGTCACGGTGGGAGAGGAGCTGCTGGATCAGAGCATGGAAGACGAGGAAGAAGAGGAAGAGACCGACAACGACCAGGACGATCACCTTATCTACCTGGAGGAGGTGCTGGAGCGGATCCACGCAGAGTACTTCGCCCGCTACGAGACCTACCTGAGGAAGGAGGCGTCGGAGATGCCGGACATCCGCAGGATTGTTCCAGAGCTGAAGAGCAAGACTCTGGAGGGCACGACGGTTGTGTTCAGCGGACTTTACCCCACTAACTACCCCATGGAGAGGACAAGGGAGTTCTACCACGCCAAAGCCCTGGGGGCCAAAATCGGCAAGAGTCTGATCCTCAACTCTCAGGACCCCAACCGGACGACACATCTAGTTGCAGCGAGGGCAGGTACGTAGACATGGATGATAACAAATGCAGCATAGTTGTGTGTCATCCAGTTAGATTCATGTTTCTTTTTATATTTTTGTGAAGCTGACTGACTCTGCAAGGAGTAACGTGCATTTATTTTGCCCCAAATTGATGTTTTTTAGTTGCTTACCCAACAACAATGGCCAAATCTGGTTAATATTGTAGTAAATGGAGTAAAAGTTGTTTAACTCATGAGTTACCTTACGTTCGCATTTCATACCTGAGAAAGTCGGACAATGACCAGCATCCACTGCTGCAGTAGCGTTTACCAAGCTAAAGATGTAACGTCTGTTCATTTATGTGGAAACACTTTGGAGCCAGAACCATAAACATGGATGACCACCCCATAATGAGCAGGTTATGCTAGTAAAAGGTGCACCTTCATGTTAAAGGTAATTTGGATCCCAGGTGGAGCAGGTACATTGTTTTTCCAAACTCAGTCACTAAGCAACCTTACTAAGAATTTGACAGAAACTCTTCAATATATACAGACTTTGTTGGGCAAACTTCCACTAATGCACTAATGGCGGAGCTAATTTTTTTGCTTAGCGCTTTTGCTAACTTTGAAAATAATAATGGCCTTAGCTTCCCCCATTTTTTTATTCTAAACTGTTAATTTATTTGGCTGTTTTGTAAACACTCTTGAATTAAATTTGTTGTCTGTGTTGAAGTTTTGGTTTATCAACTGTTCTTTAAGTAGACATTTATACCTATGTTTTTATTTTGAAGTAGGTGATGACTGTTTACACAGCAGTTCTGTAACTTTCTCTTTTGTTTCCCCCAATAACTTTACTTCAAATAAGAAACATACAGAAACAAAATATAGAAAGGACAGCATCATAGAACATATAAATTATGTCAAAATTAAATTGCTGCTTGTGGTCTTTCAAGGGCAGATATATTATAATTGGTGCTTAACTAAATTCCATGTCAGTGTAGTGCTGTACCATTATCTAAATACCATTTTGGTGTAGCGCTTTAACTAAATGCAATGTTGGTATAGTGAGTTAGCTTTAGCTAATATGTTGTATAGCATGTTAGCTTTATCTATATGCAATGTTGTGGAGCACTTTACCATTAGCTTTTGTTAATTACCACATTGGCGTGGCGCTTTAGCATTAGCTTTAACGAAAAACCATGTGCAGTGGTTTAGCATTAGCTTAAGCTAAAAACATGACATGTTTGTGTCATGTTGTAGCTAAACACAATGTTTTGTACCACTTTAGCATTAGCTAAATACCATGTTTAGCACTTTATCATTAGCTTTGGGAAAATACCATGTTTGTGTAGAGCTTTAGTGTTAACGTAACTGTTTTTTTGTAGTTGTAGTTGAGTAGTTGACACAACTAACTTTTTAGTTAGCATTGTCCACCACTGTAGACAGACATGTCAAACATAGAATGGATTCTTCTATTGATTCTAGTGTTTGTAGCCTTTATGTGAAAACAAATTATTTGCATTCCAAGTGTCCCTCAAAAAATATCATCCATTTCTCATACATCCCATATTTGTTCTGTCTTGTGAGCTAATGTTTCACCAAACTCCTTACAACTGCGGTTCTCGCAGGAACCGAGAAGGTACGGCAGGCGCAGGACTGCAAGCACCTCCATGTGGTCAACCCCGACTGGCTGTGGAGCTGTCTGGAGCGCTGGGAGCGGGTGGAGGAGCAGTTGTACCCCCTGAAGGAGGATTACTCCAGGACGCCACGGTATCAGAACCACGATGTCCCAGGCTAATCTGTTAGCACCTAAACATGTACGAGCCCAAGTACGGAGTTAAACTCCCAGTTCCGTCTCTTGAAGGAGCAACAGCCCGGCCACTTTTCTCGACAATCAGGGCTGCCTGCAGAAAGCCGTCTTCCAGCCAGTTCCCGTCCACCCCAGACCCCGAGGGGCGTTTTCAGAGGCCCGGACCTACGACTCGGTCACAGGGAAGCTAATCCGCAGGGGCCCTCAGGCGGCGCGTCCAGCAGCCTACCTCCAGGCGTCGGGACCCCTCTCCGACCGCATGGACCAGTCTGGTCTCAGGTACTAAACTCAACCCGTTATATCACTCTGAACATTGATAATCATAAAATGTAGTAATAATCCTTTTGTCACCCAATTCACCACTCAATCAGTTTCTTAGCATTCCCTTTGCTTTCACCAGAGAACGCCGCCATACTCAGAAAAACTCCAGATAGCCGAGCTTTTTGTTTGAGTGATTCACCAGAACAGTCCCCTCAGTGAGTCACCCATCAGTCTGGGTGACTTCCTGTCCCGTTCACACTTGGTTCCATTGTGAAACATGAGACGAACCTGAAACAGCCTTAGGGTTGGTAGAAATAAGAGCAGAGGTTCAGATGCAGATGTTTTTGTTGAGCACTGATGGTAGAGTTGCCTTTGGCTGTTATTGTTATCCTCAGATTTCTTTAAGTTACAACATCTTCTAGTGCAGAGGTTCCCAAACTGTGGGGCGCGCCATGCCATTGCAGGGGGGGCGCGGGAAGCGGTATGGATGAATGAATGTACACCGTACTCCATACACAACATGAGTGTTTAAACCTCTTGTCTTCAGTTTGACTCTCTTTTTAAAGCAAAGTTTAGAAAAAAAAATCAATCCAGTGATTTAATATAAATGAAACAAATTTTCTTTTTCATCTGAGTTTTTCAGGATATAATTATTTAGACCTGCCCGCTAATCTAAAGCAATTAGACAGCTGTGTGTGGGAATATACTTTATAATTAAGAATATATATTGTTTTCTTTAATATATCACCCACTGGCATGAAGGAGTGTGAGTCTTTTCTGTACTACACCAAAATGATTTCTATTTGCAAAACGCCAATAAAGAATGATAACGGGGATATGCTTTTTTATTTTTGAATGACTTCCAAGATTCACTTAAATAAAATAAGAGCGTCGCTTCCCATCCCGTCTTCCATTGTTTCTCCGTTCCCGATCCACCCCAGACGGCCGCCCTCCGTCCTTAAAACATCCTCAAATTGAACAGATCTCTGACGATGCTCTGTGATTAATCATCTGAAGTGGAAAATTGCCCTATTTTATTCATGGATTAGAGGCACAATTAAGTTTTCAGCGAGTTGCTTTAAAATGAAGAGAATCATCAAAGGAGATCCGTTCAATTAAGCAGCGCCCGGAGGAATCGGAGAAGCCGTCCCTTTCGCATTTGCATATACATCCATTAGGCTTTTCCGAGTCCTGCGCGATTTCCATCGTCGCTCGCCTGCTTTCACCTCCCTGCTTTTGTCGCTGTGGACGGTTAAAAGCTGATTGTGTTTTGCATTTTTGCAAATGAGTCTTGCTCCCTGGCGAGGCCCACAAAGATCTGAGTGGCACGAAGAAAGGAAAAAATATAAAAGTACAAAGTGGCAGAAAGTTATACTTCTGATGTTCTGCTTTTCTTCTCTTTCTTTCTTTTTTTTTTTACAAATAGATTCACTAAAATGTAGAATATTTAATTTTAATGTGTCTTTAAATGAGCTTAAAAGCAAAAAGTTGAATTTGAAATTGAATTTTTTCCAGGGATGCACGGACCTATCCACTTTGTTCACTTCTGATACCGATACCAGTATCAGAGGTTTAGTATCGGCCAATACAATACGATACAGAAAAACAGCTGAATTGACTTAAAATATTTCATTTTTTAAACACAGACATAAATGTAATGAATTATAAATGTATTTGATAAAGCTGCACCAGTACATGTAAATACACAAATAGCTTCACACGCTGGTCAAACATGTAAAAACAGCCAATATAAAATAAATAATAAAGAAGTTAATTGAAAATGATCAAATCAATAGGTTAAGCATTTTGGTCAAACATAAAAACAAACAGCAGCAAACCTTTCAAATGGGTCAAAAAGTGCAATAATTCTAAATGTAAAATAAAGCATTGGAGCACAAAACAGACTTGGACTGAATAGATTGGCCACGTTGTCACCGATCTAGATGTTTTACAGTGTCAGGACTGATACAGATGTCAATGTTGAATCCGTGCATCTGTGCTTTTCCCCAGGACTCCTGGAAAAGTATGAAGTACCTGAGATGTGAATGTGTAAAAAAACCCATTTTCCAACCGGTTCCAACATTCAGACTGGTTTTCTCATTCTCCTCTGCTCCTGCGCCTCAGGGGAGCCGCACAGGGTCAGCAGAACGAGGCGGCCGGGTCCAGTCAGGACAACGAGCAGCCAGGACCTTCCCGCCGGGAGCGGCAGCCGAGCATGTCGGAAACGATGCCGCTGTACACGCTCTGCAAGGAGGACCTGGACAGCATGGACAAAGAGGTGAGGACCGCCGCCGCCTGGGGTCTGGGTAGAGTAAAGAGTGCAGAAACATTCTGGAGGTTTTTACTGTGAATGCACACACAGCACATAACACAGTGACTCAGCCGCTTTCTGAATATGTTTTAACATCGTCACATCACAGGTGGTTGGAAGTACATCCACCTGCAGCCTGTTCAGCTTCCCTCAAAGCTAAACAGGCTTTTTTTCCCCGTATTTACATGAACAACTTCACTTTCTAAATCTGAAACAAGCTCATAATTTGTCCTTTATATTCCTGATCTTGCTTGGTTGAAACTCCCAAAGTAGAATCTTTTGTTTTTATTCCCAGTCTATAAGAAGTTATTTGAAAAGAAACTTTAGTTTCTATAAAAATATTTTGGATGCAGGGCTGCAGCTACAGATTATTGTATGCAGGGTTATTCTGACAATTAATGGGTTAAATTATTTTTGGCACATTCTGCAGATTTTTCAGCTAGCGACTTGCCCTTATTTTATACAATATTAGAAATGCACAAGTGAATAAATGAACAAATAATTCAATTCCCATTTTAAATAATAAAACTAAATTATTATATCGCTTAAAACTCATACAAGCTAAACAGGTGAGGCTAAAACTGCCACTTGAAGTGAAGAACAATGTTTCTCATTTTAAATCCAGAATCTTTTGTACAGTTTTGGCTTAATTGCTGCTCTCAGTGTGTTGCTGAGTCAGAAAAATAATCCTTTTTTTCCCCATTACTCCAGTTAACGATAACTGCAATAATCATTAACTCTAGTTAACGATTACTCAGTTACGAGTTGACGATTACTTCAGCAATCAATTAACCATGATTAAAGTATTAGATAAACTGCCAACATAGTCTGAAGGTTTGCAAACATGGTCTGGCTTTATAATTGTCTTAAGAAGTCACAGTTCTCATCATAATAACGTCTTTTCCATGATAACCGGTGCAATAACTGCTCGTCCTCTAATGAATAAATAATCCCTGCTCACAGCTGAAACGGTATAGCTTTAATCAGTATTGACAGGTGAAGGTCAATAGCTGGAGGTCAGAGGTCAGCCACAAACCTTTGTGGTTTTAAACATGGTGGTTACCACTCAGTCCTCCTGAAACTCTTCACATTCCTTTGATTTCCCTCTGGCTCTCCACTTGCACCGTTCCCGTCCTTCCATTCCATATCCGGCGCCGTTCTGCATGTTACATCCGTGGGCCTCATGAGGCAGGTGAAGTGATTAGTAACGACGGAGAACTCGGCACCTCCTGCCTGGATAATGCTCTTTAATTGAGACTGAGTTGTGCTAATGCTGCAGCGCGGAGAGATCTGCTCAGCAGACCCCCGAGATGAGCCAAGAACCTCTCAGTAAGTGATTATTGTACAGAAAAACAAAGGCCCCTCTGTGGTTTGACTAAATGGAATATGTGACGAGGCATGCTGTAAAGACATTCAGGGCCGTTGTTATTGATTTTACCTTTTCATGAATTGCTTGTTTCTGATGTGACGGCTCAGCTGGAATCCTCTCGGCTACTTCACCGTTTTCCTTCTTGAACATTTGCTTTATAAAGCTCGATTTGTCGTGTCTTTAGAAAATGACTTTGAAAGCTACAGTAATAGCCGAAAAATATAAATGGCTAAACGAACAGTGAGAAGTGATGGTCAAGGATTCATCATCGGTAGGCCTGTCACAATAATCAGTAAATTAGTTAATCGCATGAGAAATTTAAACAAACTCAGTAATTTCCATTGGCATGATTTATCATTTTATCTCTTTTTTGTCTCTCTTTCTACCAAAAACTGCGTGATAAAAGTTTTCAGTTTGGTGCTTTGGTCTCAACTAGCTCTTTTTTTTTATTGAAGGACAGTTTTGTTTACATAGACTTCAAAATGCATTTTATTTGTTGTGCTGTTTGTTTATTTTGGTTATTTAAAATGTCTTCCAGTTCCATTGTTAAATGTTCATTAGACTATAAAGTTTACTGATCTTTAGAATATGCTCTTTCATTATTATTTTTGCCATTACCGGTATATTATTTTTAAAATACTGTCAAAACAACAATATTATCGTTTATTGCAATAACTTCTGGAACAGTTTATCGTTCAGCAAAATTTGTTATTGTGACAGGCCTAATTGTGGGACTGCTTTATTGATGCCATTTCAAGCTTATAGTTTAATTTCCTTCTTCTTTGCTATGAATTTCTCTAAATTGACTAAAAACTATTGATAGACAATAAATGGAGATCGGTCAAAGTTTATCCGAGTTGCTGCGATTGGTCAGACTGGAAGGAAATGCAGAAAAATGTTGAAGCGATTGGTCAGAATTGCGGGAAAGTTACGATGTCCAGTGAAAATTGGAAATCTGCACAAAATTTTCAAACATGTGAATTAATGAATTAATTAATAGCTGCGATCACAACTTCTTGGAGGGACTGGTGAATATGCTGCCGCCGCCGTTTCCTTTGGGGAACCATTTGCTCCTCGAAGCACAACTAAAACCCTTTTTAACATCTTTTTTTTTTTTTTTTTTTTTTTTTTTACTAAAACATAAATTGACTCAAAAGCAGAATACCTTTCCCAACACAGTTTCAAATGCCACGTTCCTGGCGTACGCCTCAGCAAAAGGGCAGTCTTTGACATTCTTAAACGCTGCAGATCTTCAGGGCCACCACAGTAGCGCGCTTAATTGGCCGGAGTGAGGCAGAACGTCTGAGTCAGGTGGACAGCCTCGCATTTAAATGTCACCGACGGTTACGCGATGCTCCGTCAGTTTACCTGGAGCAACATGTGCAAAGAACGGCGGGCGGAGAAAAGCAGCAGAGTACCAGCTGTGTGACCTTTTCCTGAAGCCTTGTTGGCCATTTGATGGCTTGGAGAGTGTGTGTCCGTTTTTTGTTCAATACATGAGTATTCAGTCGAGTCCAGTTGTTTGCTTTAAGCCGCATATCTGGGAGCAGATTCTACTTCAGTTCATGTTTCAGTTTTTTGTATTTTAACACTGATTTGAAGAAATTACAAAGGAATAAAGAAATCACTGTTCATGTCTGTGGATCAGCATTGACCAATAAAAAACCTCAGATATCGGAACAGGAAGTGAAAAAAGTGGATCAGTGCATCTCTGTTTTGAAGGCCGTTTCCCCATGAAGAGAGGAAACATCCCCAAATCTATCTGTAATTTCCCCATCTACCACTGTTAGATCTAGACACCGAGGCCCATTACCAGAACTCGGCATATTTCCCCGCCACTCGCATTAAAGTAAGATAATCTTTTTAGTTCACTGAATAACATCAGGACAACATGACCCGACTGTGTCAGATGGACCTATTTTTAGCTACGCCTGCAGTTTCACCAGGATACAATCAGTTTCTGGAATCGGCGGATCTCGGAAAGACATTAGGCCGCTGCAGAACAAGAGCAACATGGAGATTAGTTTGACAATTTCTTCTGAGAATTACTGAGACATCTCTGACATTTAAGCAGAGCCATTTAAAAACTACTCTTAAAGGTTGTGAATGGTAAATATTAACAATTCTGCCAAAAGAATGAAACATATTAATCACAATTAATCGGATTAGTCGTGATTAATCTGATTAATTGTGATTACTTGATTATTGAATCAGTTGTCAGCTAATATAGTAATTGATTAATCATCAGATCAGTCAGCCAAACTTGTACAAAAAACATATGCGGTACATTTTGCATTTAAGATGTATAATAAAAAAAATAATTTGTTTGTGATTATGTTTTACTCAAAACTCAAGTGGAAGTTTTAGCTTCACCTGATTCAAATTCTTTAAAAAAAAAAAAAAAAAAATCGTTTTGCCATCCAGGTGTTAATGCTTTAATCCAAAAATAGTCAACAGATGTTAAGTCGGGCGGAAAGGGCAGAGCTTTTCACTTATTAATGTTAGAAATATCTTTTTATTCTTTGCTACAAATGATCAAATCTACACTAAATAAATGCCGTTTTATTGCATTTTAGGCTACAGAATATTTTTCATATTTAGAGAAAGGAATTAAATTATTTATTTGCATCTTTTAATGTGTTTCTAATATTGCATAAAAAGACTGAATTGGGTAATTTTCTTTTTATCCGATTAATCGTCCAAATAATTGAGATGAATAAATAACTAAAATAATTTAGTTGCAGCTAAAATTGACTTATCAGATTGCTGTGAATTTCACACCTTTAACCCCAAACCGCTTGTCTTCTTCAGAACAGAAGTGCCTCAAAGTGTTCGCATACATAAAATATGCAAAGTGTTGATGTTCCCCAAGACCCCCCATTCGGTTCCTTTTCACGTGTTTCTCCATTATGCCAGCATAAAAAAAAACAATAACAGCAGTCTAAGATTAAAACTGTAATATCCTAATAGATTGCACATGATTAAAGTGCCTCTAAATGGGAACTATATAGTTAAAAAAAAACTGCTAAAGGGAGTCTGTTGAGTAGAAGCCGGATTATTACACCCAGTTGAGAATTGGTTGAAGTGTTTTTTTTTTTTTTTTTTTTTTTTTTTCCGTCCCTCACAGACCTCTAAACAGGAACACAGAATTCTCCTCAGAGTTGTGAATAAAGCAGAGTTTCTGCATGTGTGAGGAACATGAACATGCGCCTAGATAAGTCCAGGAAGCTGACTCTGTCAGACAGAAGCTGAGTGGGCGAAGTCATGCGTTTCTTTGATAGTTAAATACGAGGTCAATCAACTTTTACTCTCAGAGCTCGAGTCGTTCCGCAGCCCATTGGTTCCCAGGCTCTCACAGTTTCTGTCTTGCATTACAGCAGCTTATGTTTTCCAGCAACACCTCCTAATAGTCTTCGTCAAACTAGTCTCACTGATTCGGGGGGTTTTTGCCACCTGTTTAGGGCTGCAACCAACGATTATTTTGCTAATTGATTAATCAATCAATTATTCTGACGATTAATCAGATACAAAAATTGGCATATTATACAAATTTTTCATTTATCCACTTAAACCTTTTTGTGCAATATTAGAAATAGAT